TCCTATTACTTTGTCATTTTAAGATTTATTGTATGATATTTATATTGAAGATTTGAATTGATTGAATGTTTTACTTTTCCTTTTCTCATAGGCAGTGCATTGGTGTTTCTATTTTGTTGCCATGAACCGTTTTGCACCGTTCTAGTTGGAGAAATTGGATTTTCTGTAGTTGTACTTTGCGATTATGGCCTTTGGTTACTGTTGAAAATACGTAGTTGATCCTGAAATCCACCTTGAAACCACGTTAATCTGAGTGTCTTGAATATTTTGAATTAATTTTTTCTTCTCCATTTACTCAGATGGGTAGAATTAAATAGTTTATTGCTCCATAACCAACTGGATCTTTATCTTTATACACTGTTAGGTTGTTACCCTTTGTACACTTCCAATGAAATTCAGATATTCAATTTAATTTACGGTACTCAGTAAATTTTTTAATGGATGGTAGTTGATAAAGGAGACTAGGAGAGTATGGACTTTAGCTTTCTTTTTCCTGCTGACAACTGATGGCAAGGGCCAATGCACAGTCAGTTTAGCTATGGCAGTTCTCGATCAGTTTAGTATACTTGTTTATTCGAATATCTGCTATAGTTAAAGAGTTCATCACCAAACTAAAAAGGCCTTGTGAAATGAAGATATCATGTAGATATATGGTTGCTCCATGTAGTGTGCTTGTCTTATGTTTATTAGTCCTTGACTCGAATATTTTTAATGTGTTGTGCGCCCAAGCTTGTGGCCTAGTGGTTAATAGAGTGGGAGGAGAACCGTGAGATATCAAGTTCAAATTCTAGCATAGGCAAAAGACATAGATGATTTCTTCGTCCGGTACCTGTGCTAGTGGGAGGCAGCATGTATCTGGTGGAATAATTGATGCACGCAAGCCGGTCGGAATACCGTCATCATAAAAATATTATTAGTGTGTTCTGAGTTGACATGGTAAATCTATGGTTTGTGAATAACGATACAAATCCACTTCTGCTTCCATTATCGTAATATGTAGTAACTAGGTATATCTGCTTGGCAAAATCCACCCCCTTCTATCGCACCATTGTTCATTTTCTCATGCTTAATTCCCTATTTTGTTCTTTTCTGTGGCATAACGGATACATTAAGCATCTGAAAACTTAACTTCCTTCAGGAGAAAGTTCAAAAAGAGTAGGCAAAACAATGAAAGCAAAAATTGAAAAATAAATGTTGAATGTATTGATTTTTGAACACGTCTCGTCTTTTTAGATGACACTGTATAGAAGAGAAACCTGATGATCTTTGACTAAAAGCAGAATAACTAATGATGTCTGTAGTATTTAAGAACACTCTGCTTCTTGTTTTTTCTAGTTTGTTCATTTTCTTGCTTGTTTTGGCTAATTTATATAGCCAAAGTTGGTCAAGAATCCTCAAAAGTTCTTGTGGAAAAATTTCTGACTGACAATAATCCATATTCAAGTATACGGAGTCTCTGAAGTTGACCAATTTTTGTAGGACGGAAATGAGGTGTTTTTCAGGATCAAGAAAAGCACACAGCTGAAGAAGCTCATGAATGCTTACTGTGATAGGCAGTCTGTGGATTTCAACTCTATTGCATTCTTGTTTGATGGCCGTCGTCTTAGGAGCGAGCAAACTCCTGATGAGGTTTCTGTCTCTCCCTTTTTCTTCACCAACCAACACTCTTCTTCCTGCCTCTCATATTGAAAATATCCTTCCTCGTATCCCTAATCGTCATAGAATCTGTAATGTGTTGTCTCATTACTTTTTCCATATTCTTTTTGACAGCTCGAGATGGAGGATGGGGATGAAATTGATGCTATGCTGCATCAGACTGGTGGATGCTTGGGTTAGTTTTATATCAGAGGGTTTTGGGACAGCTTAAATTATCTTCAGTATATATTGGCTGAACTATTATGAATATAGTTTAGCTTGTACTCTGGTGGGCTAGTAATGCGCTGCTTATGGCTGGTCACTATTTTTGGATCTTGTTATTGCCTTTTATTAACTCCCGGGTTTTGATATGATCAGTTTTTGGGCTGGTGGAGAGATTGTCCCCTTTGATTTCTATTATTGGTGGTCTTGAATTTCTGGTTTTGAAGCAAAGCTTAAACTGACCATGCCCATTCAGTCAAAGTCCAAACTACATATTCCTATCCATATACATATACATATTACTATCCTATCTTGGAAATGCGCTATATTTAATTAGCAACTTGCTCATCATCAAAATTATGCTTCTGAAATTGCTTCATCTATGTGGTATCATCATTTTTTATCATGTTCTTTCTTTCTCTCTAAGCACGATTTTAAATTAGAAGAGAGATTTTAAGAAGATATTCCCACCTGTTGGGAATATACTGGGTATGTTGTTTTTTAAGAGATGACAGATCTATTCACTCTAAGTGTATCGTAAGGGATTTGACTGGTATGGTCGCTCTTAAGTCTAAGGATGTTGTATGTCCTGAAGGGATGTCTGGTAAAATTGGAACGGCGTAGAAAAAAAAGGATGTTGTATTTGGGAATAATTAGGCGATAAAATTGGAACGACACAGGAAAAAAGGAAGTTGGATTTGTGTTCCTAATTGGAACGATATAGAAAAGAGGATCGTTGGATTTTGGAAGTCTTGTATACAGTCTTGTATATAGAACAAATCCTAAAATATAAGTAGAGTAAAACTTACATCTTAAAAAAATAATTATGGGCTAAAATAGACTTGTAGAATCAAAGCAGTTCACAAAATTTCTCTCTTAAAATTCTGCAGTTATTAATCGGAATTAGGAACACAGGCACCTTTCGGATTAAGAACCAAAGTAAACATTCTAATGCTTTTCGACTTTATTAGCAGATTAGTTGCAAAAGCGAAAAAGACTCACCATTTGAAAAATCTCACCTACTTCTATTTATGAGTCGTGACTTATTAACAAGTATAAATGTTATACAAGGCTCTAATTTCTAACTTATTCTTTTAGATCGACATCACTTCAGTAGTTAGAGTATCTGAATCTGAAATGACGGAAGTCAACCTCAATGTGTAATCACTATACATAAAGAAACAAACGTTCGAACTTTCGATTGCATAAGAGATTTTACACTTATTTTCAGTGAAATCCATTTTTCATTTAGGTTTTATCGCTCCCCACGTATGTTTCATGGAATTGATTTCCACTTCTTCCAATAGGAATAGAGGAATTGAGTGTGCCACTGTTCACTAGCCTGATTATCGGAATAAATGCGGACATTGTTACAATTATTTAAAAATAAATATTACTACGTATTTATAGGTTACGGAAAAACACAATATATGTCACAACTTCTAGCTAAAAGTATGCAATATATAAAGATATTTAAAAAAATCGTATGGTAAGAAAAATGAAATAGTACTACTAATACCATTCTTTTAGAACAAAAGAAGTTCTTGTTTTCTCAACTCTTAGCCTTTCATTTATCGTAGGTGAGCAGTACATAGAGAAATTCTCGGAATAAATTTCATGGGTGGTCTAAAGCAGCAATTTGTAAGCATTAAAGGAATCTCTGTAAGAAGAAAGATAGACTATGGATTCAATGGGTTCACTCTTATTAGATAAGAGAAAAACCTGTTTGGGGAATATGTGCTAAACAAGCATCGTGGATAGTGAACAAAGTCCTTAAAGCTAAGGAGTTCTTGGAGCAAGCAGACATTTCTTTTGATGAGCCAATGGAGATACAATAATTCTCTATTAGGGAGTTGTATATAAAGCTAAGGGAGTTTCAAAAGGTTCTATGGAAGAGACTAGTTTGTAATAATATGGGATACCCAAAATGAATCTTTTTGCTTAGAATGGTGGCCCATGGAAGGTTGTATACAAGAGATAGACTGGAAAAATAGGGAGTGACGAGTAATATTATATGTCCTTTATGTGGTGTAGAAGCTAAATCTGTAATCCACTTGTTCTACAAGTGCTCATTTGCTGCTTCAATATGGAATCAATTGCTAAGATTGCAGGGTGTGGATAGACAAGCAATGGACGGTTCAGTTCATGAATGGTAAAAATGCCAAGGCAGAGATCTACAGAATGATTCTGGCTGGATGTGCATACTATGTCTGGCAAGAAAGGAACCAACGGATATTTCAAAATAGAAGGAAAGAAGATGCTACTTTGGTGAGACAAATTGTTCAAAATGTACATATTCGAGATGAAGGCAATAGAAAAATAGCAGGCCAATTGAACAAAATGAATTACTATGCTTAGTTTCTGCTAGTTATAAATGTAGTAGTTATGACTTTTATAGATTTTGTAGGGTAGATTGTAGAGTGTTTTTTAGAATGGCTTGTAAATACTTCTTTTTCCGTATATAAAATCTGTAATTACAAAAAAATAAAAAAAATCATGGGTGGTCATTCAACTTTGTATTTATTACGCAAAAGTTAATTTTCTTCTTTTTGTTTCGCAAAAATCAATCAACTTTTGTTTTCATTGCCTAAAAGTCATTTTTCTTTCTTCTGTTACACAAAATTATTTTACTTTGCTCTATTTATCGCAAAAGTCACCTTAGCTAGATTTTATAATACTTTTACTTAAAAAGTCTATTATATCCTTAATATTATAAATTTTCTCATTTATTTAATACCTTCTATATTATATGCTATATAATATATATTTTATCTAGGTATTTTACTTATAATTAAAATAAATTTAAATTATTTTATTTATTATTTTTAAATTATATCCATACATTTAATTTTTTCGTGGCACTCAATTTGTTTAATCATATTCAAACATGAACATATTTTAAATATAAAAATGATAAAAAATATTTATTTACAATAATAAAAATATATTTGTTTAACAAATGATCGTTTTTTATAGTCAATAAAAATTTTAAAAGAATTATTAATAATATTGTGTTTAAATTTTTTTTTAAAGTTTTATATGTTAATATTATTTATTTGAAAGTATTAATCTGATATGTCATTTTGCTAAATGTAGTATTTTATTTATTAAATTAATGTGTATGGCTTGGCTCATAAATCAATGAGATTTGATTTTTCAATTTTTATTAAACATATTTCACTAAGCATGATTTAGAACGTAGACTTGAAATTTGTTCACGATAATGTTACTGACAAATTTAATAATGTTACTTAAATATCTTGAAAAATAATATTAAGAAAAGTTAAATGTACTAATATATTATAAAATTAATAAATAAAATAATATTAAGTTCTTTTAATTATAAGTAAAATACCTAGATAAAAGTATATTATATAGCATATAATGTAGAAGGTATTATATAAATGGGAGGATTTACAATATCAAGGGCATAATAGACTTTTTATGTATAAGATTTGTAAAATATGGGCAAAGTGATTATTGTCATAATTAGAGCACAGTAAAATGATTTTTGTGTAACAAAAGAAAGAAAAATAATTTTTGGGAAATAAATAGAAAGTTGAATGCCTTTTACGTAACAAAAAAAATGACTTTTGGGTGATAAACAAGAAGTTGAATGACCACCCATAAAATTTACTCTATTTTTCCGCTCTCAATTTCTACACAAATGCGTACAAGGCCTTGTCTTGCATGTAAATTTCATCACTAAATCATAACTAAGTGATACATGCTCTCAGAATGATTTATCCTCCACTGAAATCCAAGGGCCATGCCTCTCTCAGATTCAGCAAACAACAATTGGAATGCCTCTAAGGGATAATGAAATCAAGAATGGCATCTTCTCTTTTAAGCCTTTCAAAGCCCCTGGGCCAGATGACCTTCATCTTTTCTTTTACCAAAAATACTGGGACATAGTGGGTAAGGATGTCATCCTTTACTGCAAAAAATGTTTCTCCACATCCACTATGGACCCAGCCATGAATGAAACCCTTCTATGCCTCATCCCAAAATGCCCTCAAGCCACAATGATCAAAAACTTCAGACCCATAGGCTTATGCAACACTGTCAACAAGACAATAACAAAAATCATTATCAATAAAATCAAGCCTTTCCTCCACCTCATCATTGGTCCTAGCCAGACCAGCTTCCTATCCAACAGGAAAGCTTCAGATAATGCCATCGTAGTCCAAGAGTATATCTCCCACTTTGGGAAAATGAAGGGAAAATCCAGTAACATAATCCTAAAAATTGACCTGGAGAAGGCTTTTGACAGACTTAAGTGGTCTTTCATTAATCAAACCCTCAATGACTTCAAATTCCCAAACACAATCATCAATCTCATCATGTCATGTGTCAGCTCATCCTCCATCTCTGTAATTGTCAATGGAGAGAAAACCACCTCTTTCATGCCCACTAGGGGCATTAGGCAGGGTGACCCCCTCTCACCATATCTATTCATCATGTATATGAAAAGGCTTTCAAGAGCCATTGACAACAATGTCACCCAAGGGGAATGACACCCAATCAGCATTAACAGAAATGGCCCTAAAATATCACATCTCTTCTTTGCTGATGATTTAACTCTCTTCGCAAAAGCTAACCTTCCAGTTTGCAACACAATCATGAATACCCTTAATTCTTTCAATCTAGCATCAGGGCAAAAAATCAATCTCAATAAGTCCACAGTATGTTTCAGTGCTAACTTCCAACCTCATGGAATGGAACTCATTTCAAACTCTCTCTCCATAAAAGCATTAACAAACTTTGGGAAGTACCTGGGATTCCCAATTTTCCACAAAAGACTCACTTATAGTGATTTTCAGTTCATTATTGACAATCTTCACTCAAAAATGGCAGGTTGGAAAACAAGCATGCTTAATTTGACTGGAAGGATCACTCTGGCAAAAGCTTCCCTAAACTCAATTCTGAATCATGGCATGCAATACATCAAACTGCCAACAAAAACAACCAAAGAAATTGATAAAGTTCAGAGGAACTTCATCTGGGGCACCACTACTACTAAAAAGAAAATGCACCGATATCTTGGGACACAGTTACAAAGCCTAAAGAGAAGTGGGACTGGGGATTCAGAAAGTTGAATTAAAGAATAAAGCCCAGCACTCAGACCTTGCTTGGAGACTATACCAAAATACAACATCCATTTGGGCAAAAACTCTTATTGCAAAACGCTGCAATTGGAGGAACCCTTCCAAAAAGGCCAAGTCCCACACATGGCAATGCATTCTGAA